TGATCCACCACCATTACTTGTCTATCAGCGTAGGACACGTCATCCACAGGTGGTTCCATCTACAACTCCCCCAGCTTCATTTTCTGCTCCAACCGACTCTCTGGCAATGCCTCCTGCACTTGAACATCCTTTGCCTGAGTTACCCATTGCCATTCATAAAGGTATTCGAACTACCCGCAATCCTCATCCTTTATATGCTTGTACTCTTTCCTGTCATCGATTGTCTCCTTCCTACTTTTCTTTTGTTTCCTCTTTGGATTCTGTGTCTGCCAGAGGTAGACCTTCTGTCTGATGGTGATCCTGCCCAATCAGCATCTGAATAACAGACAATTTTGGAATTGCCTTTGTCCTCGTATAGTAGTCCTCGGCCCGGTGCCTTCTTGATATATCTGAGTATCCGCATTGCTGCAGTCCAATGACTATCACGAGGATCGTTAATGAATTGGCTTACCACACTTACTGGGAATGCGATGTCTGGCCTGGTGACAGTAAGATAGTTAAGTCTGCCAACAAGTCTACGATATCTTTCTGGGTCATCCAATGGCTCCCCCTGACCAGGAAGAAGCTTGATGTTGGGATCCATCGGAGTATCACTAGGGCGGCAGTCAACCATACCAGTCTCAGTGAGAATGTCCAGAGCATATTTTCTTTGGGAAATTGCAATACCAGAAGTGGAGTGGGCAACCTCGATCCCCAAAAAATATCTAAGTGGACCAAGGTCTTTCATCTGAAATTGGCGTTGAAGATGAGATTTGAGGCGACAAATACCATCGGAGTCATCACCAGTAATGATAATGTCCTCTTGTAGACACCCAATTTTGTCCGGGGGGCATACAAACGAAGAAATGGACGTCTATTATCAAGAAAAGGAGCTCTTAATCATGGAAATAACAGGACATGACATCAGAAGGCTAAAAGCCCAAAAAAGCTGGTTTTAGTAGCCCGGAACGGGTTGTTCCAAAACTGGAACGGGCCGTTCCAATTTATAAAAAAAGCCTAAAACCCTAAACTGGAACGGGCCGTTCCAAAATCGGGACGGGCCGTTCCAAAGTTGGAACGGGCCGTTCCAGGCTCTTTAAAAAAAGGCTAAAACATACATTTGGAACGAGTCGTTCCCAAATTAGAACGGATCGTTCCAAATAACAAAAAAGGCTTAAATCCTTAATTTGGAACGGGCCGTTCCAGAATGACATTTATGTGTTAAACGCGCCTCTGGAACAGGCCGTTCAAATTTCAGAATGGCCCGTTCCAATACACTAAATTAACACGTAACGGCCAGATCCAGAACGGGCCGTTCCAATTTCGGAACGGGCCGTTCTGGACCCTGTCTGAAGCCTATAATAGACAGCTTGGCACCTTTTTGAGGGACTCCAGAATTTCGTCCAGACTCCTTAAAGCACGAAATTTCTCTCTTTTCATGAGCAGACTAAACACAGAAATAGATTGTCATTTTGTAAGAGAGAAAGTGGTCTCAGGAGAAATCACCACTGAATTTGTCCACTCTAGTGACCAGTTAGCAGATGTGTTCACAAAATCTCTTAAAGGGCCTCGGGTTGATTATATTTGTAACAAGCTTGGTGCATATGATATATATGCTCCAGCTTGAGGGGGAGTGTTACAGATATTGT